TTAGTTTCTATAGCATTTATTTCTGCTCTATTCTTTATTATTTCCTTCCTTCTGCTGGTTTTAGGTTTTGTTTGTTGTCCTTTTTCTAGCCACTTCAGGTGTAAGGTTAGATTGTTTATTTGAGATTTTTTTGCTTCCTAAGGTAGGCCTGTATTACTATAAACTTCCCTCTTAGAACTGCTTTTGCTGCATCCTAGAGGTTTTGGACCACAAATTGTGTTTTCATTTTCATTTGTTTCCATGTACTTTTTAATTTCTTCTTTGATTTGGCTGACCCATTCATTGTTTAGTAGCATGTTATTTAACCTCCACGCATTTGTGGTCTTTCCAGATTTTTTCTCGTGGTTGTCTTCTAGTTTCATATTGTTGTGGTCAGAAAAGATGCATGGTATGACTTCAATCTTCTTGAATTTGTTGAGGCTAGTTTTGTGGGCTAATATGTGATCTATTCTGAAGAATGTTCCATGTGCACTTGAAAAGAATGTGTATTCTGCTATTTTAGTATGGAATGTTCGGAATATATCCATCTGGTCCGGTGTGTCATTCAAAGCCATCGTTTCTTTAGTTGATGTTCTGTTTAGATGATCTGCCCATTGATAAAAGTAGGTTGTTAATGTCCCCTACTATTATTGTGTTATTACTGATTAATTCCTTTATGTTTGTTAATGGTTTTATGTATTTGGGTGCTCCTAGGTTGGGTGCATAAATATTTACTATTGTTAGATCTTCTTGTTGGATTGTCCCCCTTTTTATTATATAGCGCCCCTCTTTGTCTCTTGTTAGTCTTTGTATTAAAGTCTATTTTGCCCAATATAAGTACTGCCACCCCAACTTTCTTTTGATATCCATGTACATGATAGATGTTTCTCCATCCCCGCACTTTCAATCTGCAGAGGTCTTTAGGTCTAAAATGAGTCTCTTGTAGGCAGATTACATATGGGTCTTGTTTTTTGTTTTTGTTTTTAAATCCATTCTGTCATCCTATGTCTTTTGATTGGAGCATTTAGTCCATTTACATTCAAAGTAATTATTGATAAATGTGTATTTATTACCATTAGCTAAAACAAATTTTCAAACAGATTCAACTTCTTAACTCTTTTACAACAGAGGCTGATCAATGAAGTCATTTGTCTGGAATTACCATCACAATTCAGGATCATAGATTTGTTTTATTTTCTAAAACTCCACGTGCTCCTTAAACATTTGGTCTTGAAAGTTCCATACTTGACTAATATGGTGCCATCTATAGTGCTGTCTACTCTGTTATCTTGTTATTTTCAGCATGAATCACGTAGCTTGAACAACTTCACATCCCATTAATATGTCAGTTATAGCCACTTCACCATATGTCTGCTGAACTGTATTATGAGTGATTGAATTTCATTCTTCTAGCTCAAATATTGGTGCAACATCTTGTTGGGGCTAGGATGGGATAAAGTTCACTTAAATTAGTCTCCAATGTAAAGAACTGAATTGGCTAAAAAATACATGTTTCAATTTGAGTTGTAGTCTGAATTTTATATCAGACTTTATTTCGTATCTCCATGTAATTTTATATGCCAAGTGAAATTACATATCAGAGGTATGCAGAGGAGAAAGTAAACCAAACGAAAGTATACACACCAAGTTTAAATTTGTTCTAGCAAATAGAAAGCAGATGATATTTAAATGAAGTGCCATTCAGTAAACACACTTCTGTGCCCAGCACCATGGTAAGCAGTGAAGGACCACCACGAGCAAACAGACACGTTGCTCACACTCATTTGAGAGAATATGATGGAAAGGGAGGTTCAGGGGAGCAGCCGGGAAGTTAGTCTGATCCAGGTGGTCAGGGAAGGACATCTGGAGGGACTGATTTTTTAAACAGAGACCTGAAGGATGAATCATCTGGCCTGAGTCTAGTGATGCTTGGGAAAAAGTATTGCAGGCAAAGGGAACAGCAAAGAGAGGACAGTCAGAGAATGGAGTATATTGGAGAAACCACAAGAATACCCAGAATTCATTGTGGTGAGTCTGTTTCAACCCGGGGATTAAAGCTTTGTAGAGTTGGCCTTCGACTATGGCATGTTGGACTCTACAGGGCCTACTGCAGTGATGGGGCCCTTCTGGGTAACAATGACTGTGGCACCATGCTGTCTAAGAGCCGCATCCAAACTACAACCGATTGGCCCATTAGCCCAATAGCAGAGCGGGTAGCAGAAAGAGCACTGGACTGGAGGAAGATGCCCTGGGTTCTGCTCACTCATTGGCCACAGACTTGCTGGGACTGAAGTTATGTGCCTTGACTTCTGTAGGCTTCTGTTTCCTCCTATGTAAAGGGTGGGATGGCATTCTATAAACTCTAAGACAGGACGGCACATATGCCTCATCTCACACACCAATTCAATGTCTGCCCCAGGCCCAGTTTTCGGATTGTTCTCAGTTAGCAATGTCTGCCATGGGATTAGGGGATTCTCCTTCTATGCCACAGACCTGCTCACCCTGCTCTGCTCTCTCTTCTTTTCCAGTTATAATATTCTGTGATCCTATGAGAAAGGAGATTTGAGCACCATTTCACATTAAAAAGTATACAATTGGTCTGAATTTCCTGTGCATGTTTTCTTGGGAGTAGAAGAAATAAAGAGTGAACTATCTAGAAGGCAGAAGGCCAGGAAGAGGAGGAAGGAAACTCGGGACCAGATGATACCAAAATGAGTAATGGCTTTTCAATGAGTTCATACCAACATATTTTAAATATTTGGATTTTCCTTCTAATGCACACAATTTTGCAATGCAATCTGTTCTTCATTATATGCCTAATTTGTCAAATCTATTACTCTTGGCTAGATTTCAGGTGGCTTATGAACAGCTAATGCAGGCAAGGGAGAAACATCCACAGAGTCTGGGCTTGAGCCCGTGCTAACAGACGTGAGCTCCCAGCCCAGTGTATGGGACGGAGACCCAGCACCGCCTGGTCATTCGGCCCTCAAAGAGGAGCCATCAACATACAAACACACTCACACTCACCTGGACTTGAATCGTGTACTGAAAAGGTCATGCAAGTTTAAAATATCTAAATGATTCTATTTTAAACTGGGCTCCACTGGATTCAGGGAAGAAAACAACCACACTAACAAACAAAAAACCAAAACAAAAACAAACAGATTTTGAACTAAACTACTGAATGCTGAATTCAGTATTTTCACTGCTGAATTCCACACTTTGAACCGCCACAGTAAGCTTGGCCTGAGCTTCATCTGTCTTATTTTTCTTTCTCTCAATTTGACAAGTTCTCTGTGCTCATCCCAGGGCATCCAAATATCTAAGCAGAGATCGAGGTATAGCTGATATGGATATAGATATGCAGCCTCCTGAGGCAAAGCCTCATACTTCAAATCTCCACCCAAAACGAATGACACCAAAATAATAAAGCCCCAAATACTCCAGTAATTTTGCCAAAACTTAGTTCTTCCTAAAGATTTAGAAAATGAAAGGTGGATGTGACCTTAACACTTGCAGAAGCTCCATAGAAACTGGTTTCCTCTGGTTGCTCTACCTATCCACCAGCAGGCTTCCGTCTGGGATGCACCTCTCTCCACAAGTAGGCTGTAACATGAACTAACCATTACACATTGCACCTACTTTGAGCCTGTCTTCCTTCAGGTTTTGTAACACTGATAATAATTTGCATTGAAGTAGCACCTGAAATTGAACAGGGCATTTAAAAATATATATATATATTAAATTAATTAAAATATATACATATTAATATAATATATATTACATATTATATATATATATTAAGCACAAATATATTAAACTTGACCCTTAAGCTAGCTGCTGGTGTTGCAGATGAGAAGCAAGTCTCTGAGGGCAGAGAGGTCGGGGTGACCCCTCTCCACCTTCTAAACCCTATCTGGGCAACAGACCCATGTGCCATATTTCTCCAGTAAACAATCTACAATTTTTCTGAGTTGGCTGTTTTAAATTAAGGCAGCTCCTCATACCCACCCAGAGATGTTCCTTGACAAAATGCTCTTGATGGCGTTTTAAGTGATTTTTTTCGCTTCTTCATTTTTAAAGTATTTTGTCCCCTTTTCCCTTTGTCACACTAATCTACTGACGTTACTGCTGATCAGCCTGGGGAGTCCACTACATTCCTGCAAGTCAGCAAATCTTGGCGCCACTCACATACCCTTGTGCCTGGCAGGGTGACAACTGACTGTGTCCCTCTACAACAGAGAGGTTACAATGGGCTATAAAGTTATAACTGGCACTAGCTAGTTATAAACTATAGCTATAGACTGTGACCGATGACTTCAATGTGTCTGAAAATGGGGATAAATCAATCCTTCCGCCATCTGTTGGATCACAGAGCAAGGGAAGAGCTACCAGAGAAATTCCTGAGATTTCTTATCTGGAAGTTCTGACACTGTCTGGATTACCAAGCTATGACATGATCGTGACCAGAAATAGCCCCGAGAACTCCTAAGGCAAACAAGCATGGGTCAAAGTGAGGAAAGCCATGAAGCGAAGTTCAAGGGTTCAGAGGTCCTAAAGGTTCAACAGTTTCTGCTACATCCCTGCCCAGCAACCCCCCCCCCAAAAAAAACACTTTGTGGAGGATGGGAGGGCTGTGAAGTCTTCTTCCTGGTCCCCAGTCAACTTAAGCTGGAGCAGCATAATCTTCAGGACTGAATGATCTAAGTTCATCTTCCCCAATACTAAACAACCAATTACTATTTTTATAAAACACAGTTCTAATTCTCTCCACTTTAACTTTCTTGTTCTGGAACAATACTGCATACTCCAAGGTATACACTCCCCCCCTTTTTTAAACTGTGGTAAAACAGATGCAATGTAACATCTACCATTGTAACCATTCTTGAGTGTATAGTTTTACCGCATTGAGTGTATAGTTTTACCACATTCAGACATTCACATTGGTTGTGCACACCCTCTGGTTTAAAGGATGCCTACCACCGCATCATTTTTTTTTTAACGAGGGATATATTACTGACCTCTCACTTCCCGTTGCTGATACTCTCTGTTTTTAAGAACAGGGTGTGAAATCCACATCCATGGATGGTGCTTGCGGAGCTGAGGGAGCATATAATGGGTCACAAATCCCACCGAGCCAGCCAGGGCAAACAGCACAACACTGAGAAATGGCTGTGATACAAGAGGGCAAATCTCATTGTTTAGCCTCGCAGGAGAGGGGAGGGATGCCCATGAATAATCCATAACACCACTGCCCTTCCCCTCTTCCCTCTAGCAGAACAGAGAGGCAACCCCAGTTCTTGTTACAGGCTTCTGAACATTTCTTCCACAGAAACCCACCTGGGTTGGGAGCCACTGAGTGGGGGGTAGAGAGCTGGCCCCAGGAAGTTCAAAGGCCAAGGGAACTCTGCCCTTTGGCTTTGTTGCCATTGTTTTTTAAAAGAAGAGGTTGAGAATAACAAATGTAACTAATAGACTTTCCTTTGTTGGAAGGAGTGCCTGAGCATATAATACTTTTATAAGGAGACAGTAACTGTTGAAACTTCAGGCCAGAAATCCCATCTAGACCTCTCCACATTTGTTTTTCTATTTGGAAATTAGGTTCCAAAGCTCCTTTTGGCTCCAGGACCTCTGTCTGACTCCTGATATGTTAATGCCTCCAGTTTCTGATCCCTGTAGTGTGCCGTCAGCCTGTCTTACTACCCCCAGGTCCCAGGATGTGTGTTGTTGCTCTAGCCAACAACATCACTCCCCAGGTGCGGGAAGACAAAGAATAAAGCACTTGAACCCAATCTGCCATGTGCACCAAGTCTCATCTTGGACATAACCCTTCACAGCACATAGATATGCTCCTTAAACCTCTCAGCTGGACTTTTGCTTTCCTCCTCTGGCTCCATTATCCTGCCAGTACCCTGGAACTCCACAACGGGCTCTGTTATTAGGGAAACTAAGGATGTGGGGAGAGTATAAAGTCGAAAGGATACGTACTCGCAAGGACAGGAACACGGTGCTGGCACTGACTGCAAATGACAGAACAGCAGCCCCCGAGCAGATAACGAGATCCGATTTTAAGATATCCTTCTGCAAAGAGAGAACCAACTGTAAAGTCTGCTCCTCTTTGTCTCAGCAACTCTGTAGTCACCGGTCAAGTCAAGTGACGGGATCCTGACTCTGTATAACCTACTCTCTCGGCGTGTCACTTACCTGGTATGTTCCCAGTGGCACATACTGGGACCATCAGTGAGAACGAGGCGAAGGGTGGGGAAAGGGGGATGCACAGGGCAAGGCTGGCCTGCACCTGCAACCCACAGCAGAAAAACAGTTTTCTACACGTGTGAGAGGCATAAGGTTCTTCTCTACAAACAGAGATCAGATACAAGACCCCATGGTCTGGTAAAGGAGGGTAAAGTGCTAATCATCTCAACTTGGCTTTAGGATAGCTTGTGTGCAGGCTGTTTGCCAAATACAAGCCTCTTACACATTCACTTATTTCTTTGGAACAGAACGGATTTCACATTTTAGTTGCTAATAAATTTTCCATCTCATAAAATTGTAGCCGTGAGCAGGGGCTGGGGGAAAACAAAGCAACGGTAGACCAAAGAATGTTATTAATACTGCATTAATATTATATGGAGGATGGCTTGTTAGTGCAAATCAAGCACAATACTGCTGGCTGATAGATCTAAAAGAGACACAAAGGACCATCACATTTTTTCTTTCTACAGAGGCCAACTTGCTGTGGTACACAATTATTGAACATTTTAAGGTACCACACACCTGAAAACTCTGAAACCATCGTTATAAATATATCAATATCTCATATTGAAAAGGAATTATGCCTCCTAAATAATTGTTTTGAATGCTCTCTGCCAGAAAATTGTATCTGTGTATATCTGTTTCCCTACATCTCCCTCCCCTTTTCTTTTCTTGTTTTTAAAATTAAAATGTGGTGTTCTTGCAAGTCGTGCTGCTGGCATTCTGACTGAATTGACACCCAAAGTGATAGGAAGAAATCAGAAAGACAGCTTAAATGGACTAATAATGACCTTGAACGATATGATGAAAAAGTCAACATGCCTGGTTAATGTAATTAATAATACAGTGAAGGGGGTGCCTGGGTGGCTCAGTTGGTTGAGTGTCCAACTCTTGGCTTCATCTCAGGTTGTGATCTCAGGGTCATGGGATCGAGTCCCACATCAGGCTCCACACTCAGCAGGGACTCTGCTTGAGATCCTCTCTCTCTTCCTCTCCTCTCTCCTCTTCCCCCTTGGCCCTTCCCCGCCTCATGTGTGTGCACATGCACACATACTCTCTCAAATAAATAAATAAAATCTTTAAAAAATAATAATACAGTGAAGAGATAATTCTCAATGTCAATTTACCAATTATCTGTTAAAGTTGTTTTACAATTCACATACAGGTATTGAATATGGGAGAAATCATATAGTGATAAACTAACTTCTAGATTTATTCTTAGTAATGGTATGAATAATTGGGTTAAAAAGTGGTAAGAATTTCCCTGATTTTTAAGCAGGGCAAATCATTGGTTTTTTCATTCTGAATCTATAAAATTTCTGTGATCACAGGTTTTCACCAGAAATTTACTATTAATAAATGGCCAAAATTCAGGTATCTCCTTTCATTCCAAAGATTTATAAAAGGCCAGACCTTCCCGAAGGAAAGATCTATAACTCATTAAGTCTTTAGGCTGTGAAAAGAAGTTAATTTTTCCTTCCTAGTTTCCACTGATGTGGTTTTATGTCATTTAAAAACTACTGAACGCTAACCCAAAAGGAAAATAAACATTTTCCCAAATTTTCTAATTTAAAATTAAGCGTTATCTATAATTGACCAACCATCCTTGCCTAAAGGCAAAATAGTGGGCCATCAGGGGAATTGCCAAGGAGGGGAGGGTTACATTTCTGGGTTTCTCAAAGCAAAAGGGAGAATGAGCTCTGATTATTGTTATTTTTTTCACAGTTGGATGACATACAGGAATTCCATTGATTTTTGTCAGTGTCATGAGTATCCCTTGTAAATACAAACGATTGCACAGGCTTATTAGAATATTCCTCCTGCAATTTGCTTTTCTGTATTGTAATTTTTAAACCGCTCTATGGAGGTATGCCTGACATACAAAACCCTGCATATATATATAAAGTGTACCATGTGATGAGTTTTGACATATGAACATCCACATGAAATCCAAAATCACAATTTGGGTAAGTAGCACAACCATCACACCCCAAAGTCTACTCTCCTGATCTTTGCTAACCTATGCCCCCTTCTCTCCTCTGTCCACAGACAATCATTGATCTGCACCATAACGATGGTTTATTCCATTCCCTAGAATGTGATATAAATAGAATTGTAGAATGTGTATTCTTCCTTGATTTGGCTTCTTTCACTCAGTGTAATTATTCTGATAGTAATCCATGTTGTTGTCTGTATGAATAGTCTATGGCTATTTATGGCTGTGTACATAGCCTTGGTGTACACACAGCACGGTGTGTTAATCCATCCACCTGTGGGTAGACATTCGATTTATTTCCAGTTTCTGGCAATTACCAATAAAGCTGCTATAGATATTCATGGCCATGTCTCTGGACATGGGCTTTCATTTCTCTTTGTAAATGCTTTTAGTAGAATGGTTGGAACACATGGTGGGTTTAGACTTAACTTCTTAAGAAACTGCCACACAGTTTTCCAAAGTCCTCGGAAACTTTTTGCATTCTCACTGGCACTGGGTGAGAGTTCCAATTACTCCATGTCCTTGCCTACTCTTGGTGTGGTCAGTATTCTTTATTTTAGCCATTCCAGGGTTGTGTAGCACAGTAGTCCTCAGCCAGGGACAATTTTACCTCCCCAGGAACATTTGGCAATGTCTTGAGACATTGTCTACTATTACATTTCAGGGAGAGGGAGAGTGACCTTGGCATCTGGTGGGTGGAGGCCAGGGATGCAGCTAAATATCCTACAATGCACAGGACAGTCCCTGACCACAGAATTATGAGGCTCAGGATGTCAATAGTGTGAGGTTGAGAAATCTTGCTATAGTGGTATCTAATTAAGGCTTTAATTTGCATTTTCCAATGGCTAATGATGCTGACCATCATTTTACATACTTAGTTTTTAAAATACCATTTACAGTAGCATAAAAAAATATGTAATACTTAGGGATAAATTTGACAAAAATGTACAAGACCCGTACATTGAAAACTACAAAACCCTGCTGGGAGAAACTAAAGAAATAAATGGAGAGACATATCATGTTCATGGATTTGAAGATTCAGTATTGTTAAGAAGTTAATTCTTACTAAATTGATAGATCCAGTGGATTTGATCAGGAGATCAAATCCTAATAGGTTTTTTTTGTACAAATTGGCAAGCTAGTTCAAAAATTACTTGGAAATGCAATGGACCTAGAAAAGGAAGAGCAACTTTGAAAAGGAAGAACTAAGTTGGAAGATATACAATATCTGATTTCAAGGCTTACTACAAACTTGCGGGAATCAGGTATTGATGGTATTGGAGCAAAAATATATTTAGATCAAGAGAACAGAAGAAAGAACCCAGATCAGAATATATACAGTCAATGGGTTTTAAACTAAAGTGCCAAGATGAAATGACAGCTTTTCCCTAAACGAGGAAAAGATAATTTTTTCAACAAAAATAACTGGAACAACTAGCCAGATAGCTATCTACAAAAAAACCAAAAGAACAACAAAAAAACCTTGACATTTCCTTCATGTCACATACAAAACTTAACTCAATGTGCATTATAAACCTAACTTAAACTATTGAATTCCTCGAAGAAAGCCTAAGAGGAAATCTTAAGTGACCTTGGGATTGGCAAAGCTTTCTTAAATAGAACACCAAAAGGTGGAGGTTTAAAAGAAAAGAAGTCATTAAATTGGAATTCATGAAAATTTAAAACGTTTGCTCTTCAAAATACATTGTTATAAAATGAAAAGGCAAGCCAGGTACTGAGAAAAATAATTGCAAAACATATATCCAACAAAGAACTTTTATCTATATTAATATATAAAGAAGTTTAAAAATTAAAAAAAAAGAACTTTAGAAATCAATAATAAGTCAAACAGTTTTTCTCCACCCTCATTCCCAGCTGCAAATGGGCAAAGTTTTGAACAGACTCTTCACCAAACATGATAGCAAATGGTAATTATTGAGCTTTTCAAGCTAGTGTTAATTTTTTTAAAGATGTATTTATTTATTTGAGAGAGAGAAGGGGAGAGAGAGAGAGAAAGAGAGAAGGAGCAGTGGGGGAGGAACAGAGGGAGAGGGAGAAGCAGGCTCCCTGATGTGGGGTTCAATCCCAGGACTCTGGGATCATGACCTGAGCCAAAGGCAGACGCTTAACCGACTGAGCCACCCAGGTGCCCCTCAAGCTACTGCTAATTAATGAAACCATAGACCACTCTGTTAACATGGGTAAAAGTAACATCAGCAAAATAAAAAGAAAATGGCTCCCTCTTTCCCTACAGCCACCAAAAAGCTGATATTATTCTACTCCAAAAATGTTATTCCTGAAAATATTTTTTTTCGTAGAAACATGTTGTATACATGTGCCTTTACAAAAAGTATGAAGTGCAGCAGATTCTGATAAACACATTCATTCATGAAACAACACTGTACTTACTAATGCACAAGTACTATTCTTACAAACATCTCCTTTTCATGTGCATTGAATTGTGTGTCTTAAATGCAGTTACAGGGTAGCAAATGTGAAAATACTATTTTTTTATAAAAGCAATCTTGAAAACACCTGGACCTCAAGGACTGTTGCATCCTATGAAAATAGTCTTTAATACTAGTAAAAAGTTTGTAATTTTGGTTTTCTTATTAAATGACTTTGCTGATTTTAATATATGTTATACATCTCTGTTTAGACACAAGTATGTGTGAGGTTTCAGTTTTAGTTTTGTTATACAGAAGGAGAATTACTGGTGCTGCCTTCTTCCTTCACATGCTTGAAGGCTAATAACTCTGAGTCTGTTGAATTACTTATTTAAACAAGAGGTTTAGAATCTTTGCTTCATTTTGATAAATATCCTGAGTCT